GGAGTTTATTTCACCTTGTAATATGGATTATGACTTATGTGAGTAAATAAAGCATGTTTATACATTTATGCAATTATTATGTTATTCAAGAACTTGGGAAATATTTAAGTAGTCTCTAGAAAAGATATCTTTTGACTCTCTTTAATTAGTAAACCACTACCAAGAACAAATACGCTGGCTCTTTAAAAAAGTCAAACTTCAACTCTACACTACATATTTTCCACCTTCACATCTTATTTGGTTTAAAGAGACCACTTCTTAGATAGTCTCCCTCCTTCAGTACTCTCTGAAATTTGTCTCTCAGAATTGCTGTTTACCAGCTGCCTTACCCCAAAGGCATACCAAGGACCTATAAGCTTTGGTCATATTCCATATCTCATTTGTCAATGTCTGCTCATCCTGTTTGATTTGGCTGGCTTCAATTCATATTTCATCACATTTTATATCAGCATATTTAGGGGAATTATTAGCTTAAAAGGTCAATATTTTCTTATAATACAAATACAATTCTCTCCCACTGAGGCTCCTAATAAACATGTATACCTATACTTAATGGTCAGAAATATCACTGAAAAGTAAGAAATACATCATGCAAAACAATGACTGCCTGCCAAGATGTTTAAGTTCAAGGAATGATAAGTTATAGCTAAAGTATATTATCTCTAGAGAGCTATTTCAGTATATCCTAAGAATCACTCTTAAAATCTCTGTTTGTCAGAAACCATAAAATACCTGGAAGCAAATATCTACATGACGCACACTTCAGTAACATCTTTGAAGATACAGCACCCTATGCACTGATAGTGAAGGCAAGGATAAATAGGTGGGACTGCATCATGCTAGTGATCTTCTGTACAGCAAAAGAGACATTACAAAAAATAAACAGACAGCCCACCACTGATTGGGAAAAAAAAATTTCTCACAAAACTAGCGATAAAGGATTGATCACAAAAATATACGGAGAACTGATGAAACTCAACAAAAATAAACAACGCCATCAAAAATGGGCAGAAGAGCTAAAAAGACACTTCTTCAAAGAGGAAATGCAGATGGCCAATAAGCATATGAAAAAATATTCAACATCACTTGTAATAAGGGAGATGCAAATTAAAACCACAATGAGATACCACCTCACCCCAGTGAGAATGGCACATCTTCAAGCAACTAGCAACAACAAATGTTGGCGAGGATGCAGAGAAAAAGGAACTCTCCTGACTGCCGTTGGGGATACAAACTAGTACAACCTCTATGGAAAACTGTTTGAAGGTTTCTCAAACTGCTAAAAATGGAGCTTTCATATGACCCAGCAATCCCACTCCTAGGTATCTACCCAAAAGACACCTGCACCCCCATGTTTATTGCTGCTTTAATTTATAATTGGAAAGACATGGAAACAATCTAAAGGCCCACAAATAGATGACTGTATTAAAAAGATGTGGTACATATACACAATGGAATATTACTCAGCAACCAAAAAAATAAACACATGCTTTTTGCAGCAACATGGATGAACTGGAAAAGATCATGCTTAGTGAAATAAGCCAGAAAGAAAAGGAAAAATACTGGATGGTTTCACTCATAACAGGAGTATAATGGACCAGGCAAGAAAATAATACTAATGAACAACTATATACCAGAGACATTTTACAGGGGTGTAATGGGAAATGGGATCAGAAACAGTGGGGGGAGAGAAATACATTGAACTATGGTGATGGCATACAGGTGATTTGGTGATGGGAAGCCCATTGGGATTACAACTGAGATGGAAAAATGCACAAAATGATGTAAAAATAAACTATTATATAAATAAATTTTTAAAAAGCTCTGTTTGTGTTTCATTTTAGTCATGTCACAGAACTTCGAGTATGTCCTGACCAAAAATATTCCATGTTCATAAAGTCAATAAAGGATTTAGCTCACTTTTGTGACCATCATATAATAAACCAATTAAAGTCCTGAAGTTGTATTGGTTTATGTTCCATTTCACTGCTCTAAACTTTAAACTGTCACTATGACTTTCAAGATACAGACAATTAAGCAAAGTCTGCAGAATCTGGAATTTAAGTACCTTACAGATGTGAAAATGGGGCCAACATCTCTCTCTAAATGCTTATCTAAATCAGCTGCGCTAGCACTAGGAGTTTAGTGGTTGACTGGAAGCCTAATTGGTATTTTGAAAATATTTATAACCATTTTATTCAGTTTCATAAAAATAATAATAATAGTTACATCAAGTGTCACTGTGCCATGCAGAAAATGCTTCAAATAATTTATATATATGTATATACACATATAATATATAATATTAGTTTGCTTTTGTACTTTTATTTATTCTATGCATTTTGACCATAATTCTATAACTTTTATAAAATTATTCAGGGTAAAATTCAGTGTTTCTGCTTCTATTCTTTTAACTCTACTAACTTCTATTAATAATGTTGTACCTATTTATCCAATATGTTGCATAGTCTAACTTAGTTATAAGGTTTAAAATCCTGCCTATATCATTTATATATATATATATATGTTCATTTTGTTTATAGTATATGTCTGATTCAATTCTATCACAGTTTTATGTGATGGCAATCAATCTATAGCATAAACAACACCATTTATGACTGGCACGGGAGGTATTTGTTCAAATGTGAAATTAGGCGTCTGCTAAAGTTCAGATCATTTTTGTATTATCTTTGAGTTTATTTCACTTTGTAATAAGAATTATGTCTTATGTGAATAAGCATATATAAGTATACACACAAATAGATCATAAAAGACTGTGCTATATGTATGTGTGTGTGTGTGTGTCTGCCTTTTTTTTTTTTTTTTTTTCAGGAACACTATTTCATGAGTATCATTCAATTTCAGTGTGGACGGCTTTTACTCTACCTTTTACTGAATGAATGGTATTCCATACTATAGAATGCAGTCATTAAACTACTTTTTTACTAATGTTAATTCAGGCCATTTCTCCTTTTTTTGTCAGTAGTATACAAATTAAATATTTCTGTATAGAACTTTTTATGAATTTGTTTTATTATTTCTTTTGGCTAAACTTTAAAATGGCTAATTGCCAATTTGAAGGCATGTTCACACTCATTCAGTGATATTAGAACAAAATTCTTACACATTTTGCTTCAAGAGGTATCTACATACCATACTTTTAGAACAAACTTCAATCTGAAATTTGATATTTAATCTGTTCATTTCGAAGCATCCCAAATGACTGATATAGTCAAAGTACTTGCTCCACCAGATAATGTCACAATGCTCTAGAGTAGTGAAATGCTTAAAATAGAATATTTAAGTTAGAATTTGTAAATGAGATATAATTACAGCTCTTATAATGTGACCATGCTATAGTGACCTATCCAAGAGTAAATTCTTTCCAACATTCTTCCTATTGATATAACTGTTCAAGTGGTGAGCATATGTTTCTGGAATGTTTAATGTTTCTGTCTGTCTGCAGTTGCGAAGAATTTGTCTTATTTTAGGGGAGCTATGTCATAGGTCAGTTAATACATTCTTATGTCATTATTGTATCCCCTCCAACAGATTTGATAGGATATATAGAAATTTCTGAAAAAGTGACCTAAGCATTCCAATCATAACAACTTTATGGAGCATTAACATTTTAATACAATTTGTATAAGGAAGGAAGACATTGCCAGAAGCACAGAATGCTCTGTTGGCATATAGTACGAACACATTGATCTTTTTCTGTAGAGTATTTGACTTCACTTAAACTAACTCATGACACGTTACTGATCTAGTTTGTTAGCAAAACCAAGGTTTATGAAAACCAGATTTCTTTACCACAAAGAGAGCTGAACACTTCTTCTTTTTTCTCATTGCAGATAGCCTCAGTGGAACAGAATTAAGAACATTAGTTTTGCGTTAGGAGAATTGCAATTATGGATTAATATTATATTAAGCTAAAGTCAAGGAAATATGTTTTAATGTTACACAAAAGTATCCAATCTACATTTTTTTTTCTTCAGTGGCTAAACTGGATTCATGTAAGAAATTGTACTTGGATTTACATCATGATTATACAGCAACAATCTTGTTGGAAGAATTTTGAGGAAATCCTAAAGATAAGACAAATTTTAACTGAGTTCACTAGCTAAATCATGCTCATGTATCTCCACTTCAAGCCTATTTCTCTCATTTGGAAACTTCTTAGGGACAATGAGAATGGCACCGATAGAACTATCAAAGTGATATCAGGCAAAAATAATAATTGTAGTTTTTAACTATTGCAAATAGTGCTGCAATAAACATGGTGCTGCTTATTACTCTTCAAATTGGTGTTCTTGTATTTTTTGAGTAGAAGACCTAGAAGGGAGATAAATAGAGCATATGGAATGTCTATTTTTAGCTTGTTAAAGAATCTCTACACTGCTTTCCATATTATTAGTCCTTTTTAGTCAAGAGTTAAAAAGAAGTTGATATACGTGTTAATATTGAATGTGTCAAGACATTTAAAATAGAATAGGCATATTTGGGGAAAAGGAGTACACAATCTTTTTTTTATGCAAAGAGGTCTTTTTAATATGTGATCTATAGACCTCTTTTATTATGACAAATATGCATTTTTCAGGGGAAATGAAACAGGCAAACATAAATAATTGTTATTAAATAAAGAAGTGTCATGATTTTCTAGAAGTTAGCAATCACTATTGAGATAGACCTTGAACTAAAAGTTATTTGGTGACTATTTAACTTCAACTAAGTAAAATGAAACTGATTCTGTGTTCCACACAAAACAGAATGTTCTATAAAACAGAATGTCTGTAACCTATTGAGAATATAATTAATGAAATAGATAATTATGTTTTAATCTTTACATATTTGATGGTTTCCCCAAGAAAATATTTATTGAATTACATGGCTTTACCATAGGGAAAAATACATATTTATATATCTCTTTAATAACAAAAAATAGTAAACGATGCAAATTCAAAGTTTCTAAAGCCAGATAATTTGTATATGTGTCTTACCTTTCTTTTGCGAAGTCTGACTTGGTTGTCTGTGGGTTCTTGGGTGGCCAGACTCTCCTTTAAGTGTAAACACTGCATGCCATCTCCACAGTTGACCTTTGCAAAACTTTTGTTTTGATGTTCTGAGAAACCACTCTTCTCCAGGCCATTTTCAGCTGACATTCCACTGGGGCAGGGAGGAGGGTATACAAGACAACTTCCAGGATCTGCTTTTAATGATGGTAGTCCTCTGTCTGTGTAAGTATTAGGCAAAAACTTATCTTGTACAATACTGCAGGTGTTTCTTTCATGTTCATCTTTAGGGAAGTCAGATTTTTTCCTTTGCTGGGTAATCAAAGCAGAATTAAACAACTGCTTATCAGGTACAATATCTTCTACATGCAAAGAGTCACATGTATTTCCTTCAGATGCATCTTTAATTTCACTTAAGCTTATTTCATTACAAAGCTCCAGGCTTTTACTTACTACGTTAACAACTTTTCTCTCCCCCTTTTCTTTTGCCAGTGTTAAGTCAACTCCACCAGCCATTCCACAAGAATTAGAAGAATCTTGGTTAGTTTCCATGATGGACAGCGTTTTTACCAAGGAGCCTGCTCCTCTGGTGTTATGTTGGTCTGATGTTTGATGCCCTTGGGTAGTCAAAATCTGTTTATCAGTAGGATATATATCTGAATCAGTATCCTCATCAGACACATGCACTAGTGTTTCTGTACTAGCCTCCAGCGAAAAAAACTGATCTTCATTTTTGTGGCGGTCATTTTCATCTACTTCCATTGAAGTGTGACCCATTGGCCTCTCAGGAAAATTTTTCAAGTCTGATCCATGACAGCAGTCTGGTAGTGAAACACACTTCTCTTTGCGGTCCACATTTACAGTTGCATCTTTTTCCATACTTGCTTGCAAGCTGTCAGCTACTAGTCCATGGTGACATGCTATGTTATAATCATCAGAATTAAAAGGCTGTCCCATCCATTGGGCCACATGTTCTTCCCAGCTTCTCTTTCTGATAGCTACAGACATGTCATCATAGTTTAACAACAGATACAGAGATATACTTCATAGGAGAACAAGCAAGATGGAATTAGATGAAAGATCACTTCAAATTCACTGATTGTAGAAGAGAGTCAGTTTTGTCATTTCGTCACCTATTAAAAATTTAAAATGTATATAGTTCAGGAATGATTAGGTACTTTATAAAGCTTTCATTTAATAGCTTCATAGATGTTTCTTTAAGAAGAAGTCTAATATTAGAAAAAACATCAACATTTAATATTTCTGGCTGAAAAAATCACTGATAATACTTTTAAATGCAGCTAGATTAACTTATTAATGAATAAAGATATAAATACTGAATAGTTAAAATGTCAGTAAGAAAATGTTTATTGGAAGAAACTTGTTGGTCTAGCTCATATGATTTCCTAACTTACTTTTATGAAAACAAGGCTTTACAAAAATCTACTCACTGTTTTGAACTGCAACAAAGACCATTAGGAAACAGTTCATGCCAAACTCCGAGTTATAGAGACAACACATGTAATGTATTAGTACGTGGAAGAGTTAATACAGATACTAAACTACCCGAATGTATTTTTTCTAGGGAGTGACTACAGAACCATGGAATAATCCTGTTTCACTCACATTAACATATAATTCATGGATAAAAATACCTTAGGAATTGTTTATATACATCCTATTACTACTAGCTTGCTACTAGCTAGCAAGTTATTTATTGTTTGAAACTTGCCCAAAAATATGTATCTAGTAAGTCAGCATTCTAATTAGGCCCTGGTTCTAGGGCCCAGGCTTTGATAGCCAACAAACCTATGTTTCTCCACATATCTTTAGTCTACCTGAGCTCAACACTCTTCAAGAAGTAATTTAGGTGAATCAAAAAGAAATTGTGAGCATAAAACAATCAGGGAAATTCTTCAGAAATTACAATCTCTTGTCTTCTGAGTAGATTACTTCTGTTAGAATGGGGCCATAAAAATTTAAGTGAACCAGAAAACCAGGCATAAGCAAAAGGAAACAAATTATACCAATATAAACTCAGTTGTCCAAAAAATGACAAATCCAAATGTCATCCCCAAATTAAACCATATATAAAAGGCTATACGAGAAAAATCCCATTCAAGGAGCAAACACTTAATAGTTTTCACTCAGCACAAGATCAGTCAGCATACATAACATAGGTTGGCTTTGTTTTAGTACTAAACAAAATTAACTACTGTGGTGATTTTGGGTCATATCAGTTTACTGAGAACTCTGACTCCTCACCAAAAATTTCAAGTTATTCCGACTAAACAAGTGTCAGAAAGTAAATATTCTCATCCTGTAGATAGCAGAAAAGTTGAGGAATGGACTAGAATTTTGGTACCTCAGCCTGAACATTATCTTTCTAGATACAATTTGGTTCCCTCGAAGGTCTATGTCCATCTTTGAAAATGGTAAGCACTCACATTTTCCATGTTGGTATTCACTTTTGCACTTAAGTGAAAATACAAAGCCACTGAATTCCATGCATAAGTCATTATAGTGTGGGAGGCTACGGAAAATGGAAAAAAACTCATAGACACAGGCCAGAAAATTTCTGCTTTCATGGGCAAATTTGGTTTGTAATAGGGCGGGTTCTGTTTTAGATGCTTTCTTTATTTTTATCCAGTGTAGAGAGAGCAGACTAATAAGAAATGCCAAGCGGTATTATAGTGTCACTCCTAAGCCACATTTACATTGGAGACTGAATTCTGGTTTCATTTGTTTTACTAAGGAGAAACAATTTTATTAACCCCTTAAAGAAGAGATTATATAAAATTTTGTCTTTAAGAGTTTACAGTAATATTTTTTAAAAGATTTATTTATTTATATATATACAAAACTGGGATACAGGCTAGAGCTACAGGGGCAATGAGAGGATTCACCAGAGACAGCAGGAAGCAGAAGAGAGAGAGACAAAGTACACTGCTGAGGGGAGCAGTGGGCAAGATAGGGGAGCAGTGGGCAAGATACCACATGTGAACCACCTCCTGGGGCTGGGGCTGGTGCTGGGAATAGAACTTGCAGTGAAGTGGCTGCAGCTAGCTTGCAGTGCTGCGCTCTAACCCGTTGCACCACCACGGAGAGCCAGTTTACAGTAATTTTTATAAGCTTATTTCAGACAACCTTGGCAAAAAAGTAATTTTATAATGTCAAAGAGAGTTCATCTAGAGAGTTCAGCAAATGCTGACATTAACTGCAAAGAGAGATTGCAAATTAGGTTCCATATACCATTAACTTCCTCTGTCCTAATTTCTAATCTAGGTTCTCTGGGGGATGTTTCTAAGGAGAAAATAAGGAAATAATAGACTATATAATGTACACTGACAGCTTGAAGGGAGTTTTATAATAGCTGGATAAGAGTGGATTAGTAATTATTACACATAAGTATAGGATTAAGAGTCATTACACATTAACATTAGGGATATCAATTATTAACTCCAGATAAAACCAAAAAAATTTAAAGACATGAAATGGAATTAAAGTACACAAAGTGGCTTACTGCTAACATATTTTATATGTTCAAAATAATGTAAAGGAGTAAATATTGACAAAATTTTTGAAACAACTATTTTTTCAGTGTTGGGTTTTATGAAGGATAGGTTTTGTTGGTGTTTTGTGATGGTGGGGAAAATTGTTTCAGAGTGCTAACTTTTCATTTTGCATAATAGAAAGTTAATAGATAATGTCAAAAAAAAGGAGAAAGACAGGAACATATTATTTAATAATATGGAAATATTAGGAGAAATAGCTAAAACCAATGTATTGTGTTATGATTCTGTGTTATTTGCTTCAGTTAGAAGGAAAGATTACTATTTCTGGATCTCAGGAAGCATTTTAAATATTAATCTGAATTTTTGTTCTGAACCATTAGTGCTTTGTATCAAAGCAATAATTTAACAATTTGAGCCAACATGTAAGTATGCTCTCAGTTCCTCTGTACATCCAACAGGTCAAACTATTCCCTTCATCCTTTCCTCACCTGCCACCCAACCACCTCACAACCAGACACATACCTGATGTGTACCTCTAGCCAAATATAGGTTACCAGTTGGGTATTTATATTGTGCCAACAATGTCAGTGTAGTTTTCCATGAGCTTCTTGTATGATTTCTTTTATAGCTTTCTTTCCTCTCTCAGCCCTTCTGGGAATTCCTGAAATTCAGGGCAGGTATTCTAGGTAATCACCTTAGACACAATCTTTTTGAAATGTTCTGTCATTAGAAGTTTACAATACAGAGTACAATACCTAAATATATATCAGTGAGGAAATACATATGAAAGAGGAATTTCTCTATTGCATTAGTCCCTAAATTTTGTGCATACCTTGGTCACAGTACTTAGAAAGACAACTTGTTTTTGATTCATTCCCTTACATGTGGAGTCTCTATTTTTAGAACACAGATAGTGGGTGTACATGCATATATGGTATACATATATCACACACATTTGCATGTATATATATAGACATGTACAAAAATAGATGTACAAGCATGTTTCCATTGCTATAAACAACAACATGTGTGTATGTATTGCAGGGGTAAATCTGTACACATATGCAGGCTTCCCTGCTATCTGAAAGCAGAGTGTTTCTAAGATATCTTTTCTATGCTAGAATGTCATAAATAAGTAATTAACATTAATTTAAATGTAAGGTTTAAGCCTATATACAGACCCAAAAATTAACTTACCAAATCACATCTAAAAGCATGAGAAACCTATAATACTTTTAACACAAAATCAGTGATGACATGATAAATATGCAGCCTGTATAAAGTAGATCCCAGGGAAGCAGTTGGTGGTGTTTTGAGAATGACTGCAGCAAAACAAAGAGGTGCTGGGTAGTAATGCTGCCTTTTGCTTTTTGTCACAAAAGTGGAAATTTTCCACAATTTTTTTTTTTGGTTAATGAAAAAGGGATAATGTAGATCTTATGTAAAAGTTAAGTGTTCTGGAATGTGAAGTTTTGAAATGTGGGGTATATATGTATTATGTGTGTGGGGGGGTTGTGTGTGTATACATACATACATACATATATCTGTATATGTGCATGTGTGTGTATATATATGCGTGTATGTATAACATACACATGTAATATATCTACAAACATAAATATGATTAACTCTGGGGCAGTTTTCTTATACCTTCACACAGTGTTTGCATAGTTAATAGGGAAAAAAACGATATAATAGTATTGTGACTTTCCTCTTTATTTTCTGTTGCTTCCTTACATTGCCAGTTACTTCTGATTTCCCACAGGTCCTTTCTTCTTTATTACCCATCCCATGTTAAATTTCTAGGTTATGTCATCTTCCTCCTACTACTCCTTTAAAGCATACACACACACCTCACACACACACACACAGTTTGTACTCAGTCACTGTGTCAAGAAAAACTGTATCTGGCATTTAAGTAACACTGCATTATAACATTATATGCTTCAGGTGTGCATCATGGAAAATAAACATGAGTATATACCATATTAAGTTCACCATTAAAAGCTCAATTCTAAGGGGAGGGGAGAACACAAGGGATTATGGATACTAAAATGATGTAAGAACTATAGAAACTATAGCTGAAGAGAAGAACTCAAATACAGTCTGCAAGTTAACAATGATGTTTGGAAATATTTTTTTCCTTTTTTAAAATAATATAATAGTTTATTTTTACATCATTTTGTGCCTTTTTTCCATCTCAGTTGTAATCCCTGTGGGACTCCCATCACCAAATCACCCATGTGCCATCACCATGGAAATAAATTTTAAGAAGTTCAATTCTATTCTGCACCAGGTCAATCTCTAACCAAGATAAGATATCCACAATGGCCTACTTTGTTGTTTTTGTAATAAGCATCAGGTTGGTGAATTGTAGAAAATGGGAATCTGAACCTTTATAGTGATATAAAACCTTAATACATGTTAGCCTACTTTCAGGAAGTGCTCTCAGAACTAGAACCCAACTGAACTAGACAATTGGACCAGATAACAAAGAACACAGAAACAGCATCACCAGCTAATACAGTTCCTAAAATGTGCATTCACTAACATGAAGATTTATTTATTCTAGTAAGCATTCATAGAGGTCAAAATAAAGCTAATTTTCTTGATGGAGC